TACCCGAAATGAGAAAAAGTTTTGCCTAATGAAAGTGCGCTCTGAGTCTGAAAATCTTACCATGTCCTTGCAATGTGTTTGTTAGGTCAACGATGGAAACCTGCTGGTCAATCCTTTTTTAAACGGAGCATAAGTGAGAATTAGGTCCCCTCGGAGGCAACATTACTCCAGGGGAAAATAGGTCGAGCACAACGGGACACGTAGTTCATGGGTTTGAGTCCGGCAACAATTTTTGTCGTGGCTCACTGGACACTTGGTGACGTCCTTCGCGCATCCTGAGTAAACAAATTGGTTGACGTATTCAAGAAGTGGTATGGGTATTTAAAAGCTCATGCGAGTAATACGGGAGAAACTGCGACGAATCATCCGCAAAATGGCGAGGGCCTTTTGGACCGATTTCCCATGGTTCAATGAGAGGGACAAGTTTGACGAGATCCAGATACCCAAATCCTTTTGACGTCCATCCTAACTGCGTTTTCTAGTCCCTTTCTCACCACGCATGACAAAGGCATTCGCTGAGTCTGCTCCAAATGACATATGGACGCACTTTTCGTCATTCAGAGGAAGGTGCCGGTAAAACGGCTACTCTTTTCAGTGTCTGCATCCATTTGAAGGGCATTGACATTGGAACTCCAGGAGCTCAATTCGTACGCGAAAAGTAGACATGGGCTTGCACGAATATCTGGAAGGCCATTGGCGTAGCTCAGAAACAGCAGTGGTCCCCAAACGGAGCCTTGAGGAACTTCAACGGAGACCGGCGCTGGAGAAGATAAGGTTGAACCTAACTTCACTCGGAATGATCTGTTCGAAAGGAACGCCTTGATATAGCGTGAGATTTCCCCTTGGACTCGGTGAGATTCGAGTTTGTGGAGCGGCAGGACGCGCGGGGCCCTATCAGATGGTTTTTAGAAGACGCAAATGATGACATCCGATATGAGTACCTCGTCCTTGGCTTGGGTCAAGCTGTCCATAGACTCGAGAATATTTGTCACGCAAGAACGGTTGGGGAGAAATTCGTGATTCGGGAAACATCCGAGGTTGTTTTCGAAATTCCCATGGCATAGAGTCAGGTCTCGTGACCAGCTGATCGATTATGATTGTCAACTATTGACTCTTCTATCCTTCTAAATCTACGAGACTCAATACTTGAAGGGCAATAGTTTTGAAAGTTGAGAACAACGGCGATTTTTCAGCCGTTTCAGGACAACCTTGGTTGTGCAAGCTGAAGATCTGAAAAAACTAGAAGGAATAAACGCCGAAGACTGAGGGATAACACAATAATTCACCACCGCCATAGATTTTTCCTAAAGTGTGATTTATGTATGACAAACCGACAACTTTCAGCACGCAATTCATGGCTTTAAAATGATCACATCAAATACCGATGAAGCAATGGACTTTCCTCACACATCGACCTAGACTACCTCCGCTATTTCTCGAGGCATCTATCCAATAATTCTCATACGAAGTTCCCGCTATTTGGTTTTCAGTCTCAAAGAATGTTTTGAGGTTTCCTCGAGCTTCCTATCAACTATTGAGCTTCTCCGTGCCTGCTTCGCCAGCATAGCGAAGGGGTTTGCTTGTAGGTCACATAAAATATGCCATTGACTTTGGAACTCATGAACGAGATGGGTGAGAGTGATAAAACTTTCGAAGATTTGACCTCATTACTGGTTTTTCTTCAGAATTAACAGCGCAATTTACTTAGACGTTTAGGATGGTATGCACCCGCAAACAATAATAGTCCCTCTTAATCAACGGTAAACCTGGCAACAAAATTACATCAATCTGAATGTACCGAATGTACCGAATGTACCGAATTAAATATTCTAACTCCTTTAGTCTAATAATAATAATTTATTCGCAGCTCAAAATTCGGTGCTATATTCTAACTCCTTTAGTCTAATAATAATTTATTCACAGCTCAAAGTTCGGTGCTGAGAACAGCGCACGGATACTGATCCATGAAAATAGCACCCGCTTCTTGATGTCGGGTGCTCAGCTTCGGCATCTGACTAGCGAAGCAGACGCTTTGTGTGGCCATTGTTTTGGTTTTGGAGGGTGTGCTCAATTCCAATTTTTCGGGCAATTGCAATGGATTTATTTATCCGTTCACGCAATTAACTAGGTAGTTGGGCTAAAAATTACGTTGAGGGGGGGCCGACGGCGGAGCGTCATTCTTGAAGGAATATCCTGGACTTTTTACATTTTCACCGATTGCGAAATTTGACATAGAAAATTTAACAAGGGGGATCATGCATTGTGTGGTTATAGGTCGGTGTACGGATTATGTAAGTGTTTTGTTACGACTAAGTATTACTGATCGGATGGCCCATTCAAGATTTGCATTAGATTTAATTCTATAATTTCTGACACACTAGCTTAGGCCAGTTGATCAAGTTGAATTCGGATATGCTAAAGATTGCAACGCCAACCGCTGTCTACTTATTATGCCTGCAGTATGATGAGACAGGCCCGGCCATTGAGGGGAGGGTGATCGACTTGCTCAAATTAGTAATTGGGATACCTCTACTCAAGCGCCCGCTGGACTAACTTGTGGTGCTAATATCCCTCAACACATAAAAACTACACCCAAGTTTTCTTTAGCTGCCATATTCGCACACATCGTCCAGCACCTCGGCTTCATGGGAAGACACTTAGGTTTAAAACACAAGGCCTAATTAATATGATTCCGAAAGAATTAACCTACTCCGGCACTCCTGTCGAAAACTCGCTCCAGCGCTAGTCTCCATTGGAGTTCCTCAAGGCTCCGTCTTGTGACCACTCCTGTTTCTGACCTATGTCAACGACCTCCCAGATGTTCCTGCAAGTCCATGTCTACTTATTGCGGGCGACATGAAATCCTGGAGTTCCAATGCCAGTGCCCTCCAAATGGATGTAGACGCTGCAAAGCAGTGGTCGTTGGACTGGCACCTTCCTCTGAATGACGGAAAGTGCGTCCATATGATATTTGGAGGAGACTCAGCGAATGCTTTTGTTGTGCATGGTGAGAAAGGACCAGAAAACATCAAGGGGATAGATGCCAAAAAGGATTTGGGCATCTGGGTCTCCTCAAACTTATCCTTCGCACTGCGCCAGAGAAGTTATCCCAAAAGGCATTCGCCATTTTACGGATGACCCGACGCACCTTCTCCCGTATTACTCACATGGACTTCCAAATACTCTATGGGGCCTACGCCAGACCGCTCCTGGAATACGTGAACCGAGTTGTCTACTCAGGACGTACGAAAGACGTCACCCTCATTGGGCGTGTCCAGCGAGCCGCCAGTGCTCAATTCCAATTTTTCGGGCAATTGCAATGGATTTATTTATCCGTTCACGCAATTAACTAGGTAGTTGGGCTAAAAATTACGTTGAGAGGGGGCCGACGGCGGAGCGTCATTCTTGAAGGAATATCCTGGACTTTTTACATTTTCACCGATTGCGAAATTTGACATAGAAAATTTAACAAGGGGGATCATGCATTGTGTGGTTATAGGTCGGTGTACGGATTATGTAAGTGTTTTGTTACGACTAAGTATTACTGATCGGATGGCCCATTCAAGATTTGCATTAGATTTAATTCTATAATTTCTGACACACTAGCTTAGGCCAGTTGATCAAGTTGAATTCGGATATGCTAAAGATTGCAACGCCAACCGCTGTCTACTTATTATGCCTGCAGTATGATGAGACAGGCCCGGCCATTGAGGGGAGGGTGATCGACTTGCTCAAATTAGTAATTGGGATACCTCTACTCAAGCGCCCGCTGGACTAACTTGTGGTGCTAATATCCCTCAACACATAAAAACTACACCCAAGTTTTCTTTAGCTGCCATATTCGCACACATCGTCCAGCACCTCGGCTTCATGGGAAGACACTTAGGTTTAAAACACAAGGCCTAATTAATATGATTCCGAAAGAATTAACCTACTCCGGCACTCCTGTCGAAAACTCGCTCCAGCGCTAGTCTCCATTGGAGTTCCTCAAGGCTCCGTCTTGTGACCACTCCTGTTTCTGACCTATGTCAACGACCTCCCAGATGTTCCTGCAAGTCCATGTCTACTTATTGCGGGCGACATGAAATCCTGGAGTTCCAATGCCAGTGCCCTCCAAATGGATGTAGACGCTGCAAAGCAGTGGTCGTTGGACTGGCACCTTCCTCTGAATGACGGAAAGTGCGTCCATATGATATTTGGAGGAGACTCAGCGAATGCTTTTGTTGTGCATGGTGAGAAAGGACCAGAAAACATCAAGGGGATAGATGCCAAAAAGGATTTGGGCATCTGGGTCTCCTCAAACTTATCCTTCGCACTGCGCCAGAGAAGTTATCCCAAAAGGCATTCGCCATTTTACGGATGACCCGACGCACCTTCTCCCGTATTACTCACATGGACTTCCAAATACTCTATGGGGCCTACGCCAGACCGCTCCTGGAATACGTGAACCGAGTTGTCTACTCAGGACGTACGAAAGACGTCACCCTCATTGGGCGTGTCCAGCGAGCCGCCACGAGAATGGTTGCCGGCCTCAAATCCGTGGACTACGAAACGCGTCTCGCGATGCTTGATCTCTTTCCTCTGGAGTAACGCCTCCTCCGAGGGGATCTATTTCTTACTTATGCTCTGCTTGAATCCTCATTTCGGATAGTAGGTGCATGGAATAACCTTCCTCCGGCGGTCGTTCACGCTCCTTCTAGAACCCAGTTTAAAGCGCTATTCGACATTTATTTATGCGAATCCTCGCGCTGGCAAGCATACTGCCCAGCGATGAGAACATGAAGAGCAGTGCTACACCCTTTTTCACTTGTGCCTTTCAGGTGAACGATAGCCACTGACCGACAAGAACAAAACCGACCCGGGAAACATGGGCGAACGCCTCGATTCTGTGTATCAATCCGTGAATCTGTGAATTCATGGACGGTATTGGCCTGACCTTGGACCAACCATAATTCGTTCGTGCACACGCTCGCCCTCGTGTGCTGGTTTGGCTTCTACGGATGTCATTTCAGACGACAACGCATTCCTCTAGTTGGGACGAGAATGAGGCAACTGCGGCATTAAATTCGTTTCTGCCAGCCCATTTTGGCCCTTCAAATACCACACAGACTATTGTGAAAGCGGCAGAGGTGAGGGTTTTTATTGTAGTAACTTTTCGATTCAGTATATTGGCTCATTTATGGTGACAGGCAGAGGTCATCATGATCGTGCGGAAATCGTGCGACAAAAGCTAGAAGCTGCAAGGGTGAGTCGTAGAAATCCCGGTTTTGCTTAATTATCCTTTTGGGAAATTATTGTGAATGCAAAGCTCTCAATTTTTTGTTTACTGGTTTGAGACAAGATCGGCTCCACGTTAAGATTATCCAGTACGTTCTCGAGAAATTGGGAAAGGCAGGCGGCGGTCTCCTCTACTAGCACATGGAGCAGCGTGTTATTAACAACTATGCGGTAACCCTCAACCGTCATAGACTGTGGTTTGACTGATATGGCTCCCCTTGACCCATTGAGCAATAATGGAGGGTGTCCACGGGACGAACAGTCTCTCACATCAGGATAGTCAGCTATAGGAGGCCTGACCAATACAGTCTCCTTGCCCTCGAGGTGTAAATTGGAACATGTATGCCAACCTGTGTAAAGGCACCTGTGTAATGCACCTGCCTTTTTGTCAGACGCCGCCTTGTGATCGGAACTTTGTGCCAAAGTTTTGGGGACCGTAATCAGCCTCCTGTTTAAGTCTGTACTGCGTAGCCACACCCCGACCCACGTCCAACTAGGATGCATATAACTTACAATGCTCTCGTGCCACATTGACCATTGGGTGGTGCCATCACCCGAGTCGCCTTTTTGCAAACAACAACAAACAACTTTTTCGCTCTTTTCCCCCACATCTCGTTTCTAACCACGTTCCATGAGTGCACTCTGAAGGACTGACGGATCCGTGCACTACCCATTGCCGATGGCTGCAATATACACAGATATCTTGGCGGCCACGACCGTCGCTCGACCCACCTGATAGTATTTATCGTTTGAACTATGAAACAAGCTGAACGAGAAACTACTCTGCCATTCACGCTTGACTCGCTTTCCATGTCTGTCTGAGACGAGGAATCAAGACCAAAGTACGGTTGTTGAACTGACCTCCCCACCGGTTTCCACTCCCTTCCGGTTGCCCACCTCTAGTGGTCCAAATGGCACTTCTGCTGGTTCTGCTGGGGTTGGTATTGCTTCAGGCTACCAAAATGAATGGTTGCCAATTGATATTCACCTCTGTGTAGTTCGTTTGACAATGTGAGAATGTCCTGTGAACGCGCTGACAACCGGTGCCTGGTAATCATATCCGCCTACGTCCCAACCAATACGCTGACAGTTTTTATGACGCCTTGGGCACTTTTTTGCGGCGGGTTAAGAGCCCACATTATTTTGGTTACCGGGAGTTGAATGCGCAAGTAGATAGACTAAGCGCTACTGAAGCTCAATGTGAGTAGTAATGTAGGGCTAGAATCGAGACGCACGGGTAATGGTGAACGCCTGCTGCAGTTGTGTGCTACCAACAGACTGTTTATGTGTAGTACTAACCTCTGAAACCCGAGGTCGCGCGGCCATATGGTTCACTCCTTAACACAAACTGACCTGCAGCACAGATGTGACATGTCGCCATTAGCTGTATGTATTGTGGGTCAATTACTGTCTTTTTCTGGTTCCGGAATAACTATGGATTTGGTTCATTCACTTGTTCATTACTCCTTTCTGTTGCGCCTTCACCTGGTGCGCAAGGTGCTGAACACATCGCTTGGCCATTGAGAGTTTCTCGTCCCTGGTGTGAAACTAGTCTACCATAAGCACTTAAGTCCTTTTCGGACATATTCTTGTGTTCATTTTTATTGGAAGGTACTGTCCGTAATCGTACGAGATTCTGGGCTCTCCACTTTGAAACAGGGCAACCAACTAGATCCAGGCACTGGATCTTGATCAAAATTCCGAAATTGCTCGAGGCTTGGATACGTATTTCTCCTGATCAAGATTACAGTGTCGCTTGACGAACTGTCGGTCTTCAGATGAAGAGGGTATTGGCGCGACTCGGGAACCTTGGTGGATTAAGAAAGCTAAAGAGATGGGAATGAGAAACTCTGGGAACTGTTCTAGCTCAACAAGCCCATAGAAGCCTCAGGTCAGCAAAACTTGCTCATACTAACGTCTCGCTTATCTGGAGGCTGTATTATCTGTGGAAAACAGGAGCGCTTGAATTGCTGTACTGAACACTTTTGGAACCAGTTTAAATGGCCACCTGCAATTGTTCAGCTGGATTCCCAACCGGCGGGGCAGCCTCAGACGATAAATTTGGGACCCTCAGCAGTGAATGTCCTTTGTCTTTCAAGCTTAACCAAGCCGTTGGTCCCGACGAAGTCCCACCCGCTCTATTGAAAGATTGAAGCGAAGTCAGTCAGTGCTCGTCCAACTTATCTCTGTTTTGGGGAAAGAGTCGGTTCCA